TACAATTTGATTTTTGCTCAAGGATGGTGTGTGAGTGGGATTAAAGTATTTGAGTCTCCCTTTGCTTGGCACAAAGGGATAATAAAGAGGTTTTTCTAAACAATCAATTCTGTTTATCATCATTTAAACAAACAAAACAAACAAACATGGCCAATATAGTGTCCTGTTATTCTATCGTGAAAATATCTGAATGTTTTAGAGCAACTTAAAGTGAAATTAGCAGCTTTCTTAAAGGATGCTTTTACTTTTAATGATTCCCTTAAGGATCCATAATATATCTGTATGTGTATGGGGAGGGTAGGTTGGTGGTTCAATCCCTGACTCCTTCAGTCTGTATATTAAACATCCTTAGACAAGATACAGAAATCAGAGTTAAGACGGTGTGCGAGTGCCTGACTTAGTGCGGATCATAGTAAAAAATACTTTGAATGCTCAGTTAGAAGGCACCATTGAAACATCACTCATTTACCAAAATAAAAAAAATTATGAAAATGGGAGGTGTGTGTGTGTGTGTGGTATTGCAAGAGAAAAACCTTTTCCAACATTAAAGTTGCACATTTAAATGTTTCCAGGATTAAAATAATAATAATAATAATAATAATAATAATAATAACTTGAAGACTAAGATCAGATAATAGATTATAAAGACAATTTTGCTGAAAAACAAAACCTTGTGTGTGCCTCTCTCCTCTTGTTTCACGTTCAGTCGCGAAGTGTACTCATACACTTGGAACCGATAAACCTGCTTATCAGAAAGGCCACGTCAACTAATGACCTCATTGTTTAAACGTATTGACAAAGAACCAAACTTCCTTGTACCACTCGGGTCATTACAAACACATACAGTTGAACTTTTGTGAAGTACACGTCAACCTAGCTCCATGCACGCAGAGATCCCGCCCCGCTGAGGAGGACGTGGGCAAACAAAGCCCTTCATCCCTCCCATCCCGAGAGCCGAGTAGTCCAATCAGCTGTCACACACTTTGTGAAAGAGGTCAACAATCAGACAAAAGTGAAGCGGGACGGGCCTGCAAAGCCCAAACTAACCAGTTTAATAAGTCAATTCAATCGGTGGAGGTGCAAGAAAAGCGAAAGCTACCGCATGAAACCGCAACAGCCGATCGAAACCCATCTTGACCCATTTATCTGCTCTCCACCATCCCAGCTTTCCTGCATTTTACAATTTGGCGATTCAAATTAGGGGGAATTTTGTAACAATAATAAAAAAAAAACTTGCTATATTTCCCCGATTATAAGATACACTAAATACTCAGAACTAACACAGACTTCTCTAACTTCAGAGAAAACCCACTGCCTTTTGCTATGTGCCCAGCAACTTCCTCAGACACCCCCAAAGGCCCAATTTGAGGCGTGCAAAAAACCCCTTTGTGGCCTTAATAATGCTCTTAAAGCAACAGATGGATCTTAAGTACAGCACTGCACAATTTCTATACAATTCACCAGAGATAAAGCTAATTTAAGGAAATACTATATTCGCACAGATGTTACAAACTGGTTGAGGTTTGCAGAAAATAAATCTGAGGGTCACAGCCAAGTTTTGCCTCCGCGGCAGAGTCCCGTTACACTTCGGTGTTAGCTTGACTAATTTTACCATCACAGCGAGAAAACAGCTCGATGATCAAGGCTCTCTGTTTCATTAAAGGAATAACTACAGCAGCTCTGCAGCTCGGTGAATTACAGTCACGCATGAATGCAAAACCAAACCCAACGTCGGTGAGTTAGCTAACCAGCAGCAACTTATCTCAAGTGTCAAAGTTTAATGCTAACATTATGTCAGGCTCAACTCGGCTAGCTTAGCTCTGCACGAGCTGAGACCGCAGCGGGAGGCTTAGCTTGAGCTGGAGACCTTTTAAAGGCAGTCAGAACCACTTACAGAACTCAACCAGGATGTTGGGGTGAGCCTGGAGAGCCTCGTCGAAGTTACTCTTCTTCAGCACCAGGACATCTTCTTCCTCGGCTATCTCAGCGTTGATGGCCACAGCCAGTGTGCAGAAAATCAGAAACTTCAACATCGTCGCCGTCGAGTTTTCTTCCCTAAAATAGACGAAAGGTTCAGACGAGCTCGGCTACGGCTGGGATGGAGGAACAGGTGTTAGTTTCAGGTCCGTTTCCCCTCGTTTAAGGTTGGGAGAGTAGCTGGTATTTTGTGTCTACCGCTACTAACGTGGCAGTGCACGCAGAAACCGGAGGGTCAGGCGTAGTGCGCATGCGCCTTTATGAGGCAGAAAGCAGTTCGTGTTGAATTGTGACTGGATCGCAGCGGGCTGCACCTGGAAGTGAAAGAGAGGCGCTCCCTGCACACATCAGTCCGCCGAGAGCAGGAAAACTGGATGGGAAGGTTTTAACTGCCTACACTTTTTAAACAGGGAAACAAACTCAACTATGTAATCATATTTTATAGATTTACTTTATTAGAGCATATTACAGCGCACGAACCACAAGTACAATATGTGAAATACAGTATAGTGAAACATCGGAATTCACTGAATGCCTTTTCTTTTTTTTGGCTCTTGGCTGTGGGGTGAATATGAGTGTAAACTGATGCAACCAGCTGGGGGTTGGAAACTGGCTGTTTGCAAAGAGGACAGAGCAAAGTCTGAATGATGACTAGCGCTTATCTGCCACACTGATTTTTACATTAACACCTCCATTGCAGCCTGGTTTGACAACAAAACTGAACAAATAAACGGGACTTTCTGTACTCACTCTGGATAATCCCCAGAACGCTGTGTCAATAGTTGGTGAAAGGGAAATCTGGTGGGATGGTGCTACAGAAATCTTTGCAATACACATATTTTAAACCAAATAAAACCAAAACTGCTGCGATGGTGAGATACGGGCATACATGAGAACATTACTTATGAAAATCAGTCATTTGAGAAAATTTTAGTGCATGTTTTACAACTTCCTTTACTAAGAAGTCAGGACACACTGTAAAATGTCAAGAAAAGTGCAATGTGATTATCTGTAAATTATCAAAAGCCCTTTAGTTGATTCAAACCAGATGAAAGACAATGTTTATAGTGAGAATTGTTCTTTTTTTTTCAAAAATCATGCTATTTTAAAAAAAATTATTCCAAAAAAACATTTTAAATATGTTATGAGGCATGTTTACCACTGTTTTGCATCACTGCGTCCAGGAACGGATGGAAATCAGTTCCTGGAGATTCAAAGACAAATGTTTTCACATTTTTCAGTGCATCTTAATTCATATTTATTGCTCTATAGTTGCAAGCATGCAGTTTAGAACCCAGACACTCTCTCTTATTGAATATGTGCAGAATGAAGTTTTGCATTGTCTTCCTGAAAAAGGTGTCATCTAGATGAATGCCATTATATGTGGTTGCAAAACCTGTATGTATTGTTCAGCAGATTTAGTGCCACGTGTACTAATGCACCCGCAGTCACAGATACTGGCTGTTAAACTGTGTGCTAGTAACAAGCTGGATAGTTTATCCTGAGATGAGCTGACATGAGCATTAAAAACAACCTACTGTAGAATAAAATATTAAAATAATTATTGTGACAAAACAAAACTGGCTCAGGGGGTAAAGCATGCACCATTGAAAAGGAGAAGTAGATAAAAAATAGAAAAAAAGGAAAATGACATAAAAAGAACAGCCTAAAGATTGTAGAAATTTGTGTTCACTTTTTTTAAGGATTACTTTTGTAGTTTTAAATGAGTATTCCTGAAACACTGCTATGATTTCCACCACAGAATAAAGTGTGTTTTCAGTGCAGTTCTGTCTGAGGGCCTGAACATCATGGCCAGTTAGAAAAGTTAACAGGGAATCTATACGAAATTGCCACAATAAACTGGTGAAATTGACATTACAAACCTTTTCCTGAAGTTTTTGTAAGTGCTCCCTGTTGGTAGTCAACATTGGAGTTACATGATTTTTGCCTTAGCAGCACAGATGAGTTCACTAGGAGGAAACATCTGCTTCAGACATTCATCTTTATGCGCTTCAAGCAGACATTTTGGGGATTCTTAAAAGAATATAATGGCCAGACTGCTTCAAGCTGACAGTTACTGCAACAGTTAAAACCAATAACCGCTGGTTACAACCAAGATATGCACATCGTGTCAAACCTTGATGGGCTACAGCAGTAGTAGACCACACCAGCTGCCACTCATGTCAGCTAAGAACAAGAAACTGAGGCTAAAATTCACATGGGCTCAACAAAATTGCC